AATAATATATAAATAATATATAAATATAATATATATATATATACACATATATATATGTATTATCATACCTAAGGGTCAAAGTACCGCAGTTGGCGTGTGAGTTCGGCGGAGTTGGGAGGCGAAACATAAGGTTTGAGTGTTTGGGGGTGTTTGGGCATTTTGGGAGATGGGTATCTGTTTTTGCATCACAACCTGCGCAAGCAATCGCAGATCTGCTTCTTGCTCTCTTTTACTCAGCGCATTGCTCTTTGCACCCAGTCTTATTTGGACTTCCTGCTGGTCGACAGACTGGCAGCCGTCATATTTTCGGTTCGTTTCTTGTTGTCATCGCCACCAGCATATCCAGGCAAACGACAATTCCGGTGAATTTTCGTCTCAAAGACTCAACCATAAGCAGCGATGCCCACGAACCCTGGCTGCTACTGTAGAGGCTTGAACGATTACGTAGAAATACTGTTCCTCTTGGCTCCCTTTATTATGATTATTATGCCGAGGCGCTGCTCCAATTATCAAGGCCCCTTTTCTAAACCCGAGTAGTAGCCCTTGTAGAGCCCCTCAAAACTATCCCTTGCAGGGAACCCTAATCCCCAAGGCCCCTAAAGTACTCTTTCAGGTGATATGGCGGAAGCCACGGGACCAGCATCAGCTGGCCGTGTCCTTCCTTGCGCCTGGGCCCCTGGTTTGGGAGTCTAGAGAAAACTTAGTTATGGCGTGGGGTTTGCGGTAAATGGGTTCAGGTTTGGGATTGAGGGATTAGGGTTTCGGGCTTGGGGGTTGAGGGTAACATTTTGCTGGGGATGAACTGATGAACTACGAACCCGGCCCTACAAGTCTGAAGCACAAGGGCCTGAATAATTACCCATCCTGCTCCTTAGGGTTCTTCATTGGAATCATACTGCACCCAAAATCCTGTTCGAATATTTTTGTGGCCCCATATACAAGGCTTAGTAACCCTTACAGGGCCCTATAAAAGGAACCCTTTTCAAAGGAGCTCTATTCTGATTATGATGGCCCCACTCGATTCCCTGGACTTCGACTCTGAACTCTCAGAGGTCCTGGGGGTTTTGCCAGGGTCTTTAAATCTCCGGAATCCAAAGCGTCAGTCCCTTAAAGGGTTCCTTTAAACGGCTCTGTATAAGGGTTTTCGACAAGGTTTAGTCAGTTTAGTCAAGCCCAACTTCCACACAGCTCCCAAACGTAGTCACGGGGCTTTTAGAGTCGTAAGGTTCGAAGGTGTAAGTACCAAACATTAAAGGCGGTTTATCCGAACACACCTTTCAATTCTGCGCCGGAGCCGGGATACTTCCAATCGTACACGCTGAGACGACAAATCTTGGAAGCTCTTACATCCTGACATCCAAGAGCTCGAAGCAATAAAGTTGTCTTAAAGTTTCGGGGGCACCCATAAACGGATCGTCCACGGCTAGAAAACCCTGAAACTGAATTGTAAAGAGTCACCAAAACCATCCACCTATATCCTACACGAATGGAGGCCCGAGAACCCATCAAGGCAGATTTCAGTGGTTGAAGGGATCTAATGTAGGGGCCTCAATAATTACCTATACCATCTTGGGGGTTCCTTATTAGAAATAGAGTATAATGGGCCCCACAATCCTATTCTAATTTTAATGCCCCTACATTAGGTCGACAGCCCTGAACCCTGGCACCCCAAAAGCCGACATCCGGCACAGTGCCCGAGGTGTACAGCAAGACGGGCCGAAACTTTGTGAGGTTCTTCCTCTCGCAGGCCACGGACTCGCCCAAAAGCTGAAGTTTCAGCTTTGAGGGTGTTTTTTTGTGGTTTTCATCAGAGATGTTTCGGGTTTAACGCAGGGGCCTTCGTGAGGATAGGTTTTTTTTCAACGCACCATTCTGTGAGCCTGTAAACCAGGTAGCACCAAGGCCAAGGTCCCGAGTTCAACCCATATGCTTCAGAGGAATCTCGACATGTGGTGATGGGTTCACGAAAGGTTGCCTCACAGATCGCAGGTTGCCATCGTGCCATGCCCCAAGCTGCAATCCGAACTTGCTAAATCCTTACAGAGCTTCTTGTCCCCCTCCCCCCAATCTCTTCCTCACCGTAGCCGTAGGCCTAAAGGCACCAGAAGCCTTTAACAAATCTAACCAAAAAGCAGATCAGCCTCGGAGGTTTCTGGCCCGCATCGAGGGAACCACGAGGGCTGCTGGAGCTTCACTGAACAGGGATCCATGCGCCTGCAGCTGCCCCAGCGGCTAGGAGAGAATAAGATAGCGGAGAGTCTGGTGGATTTTTCGGAAGGACGGCAAAAGCATCATGGTAAGCATACCAACAAATAATCGGCACCATCCTCATCATCACCCTCATCTTCATTCTCATCCTCATCCTCATCATCATTTTTACAATCACCATCATCATCATCATAATCACCATGATCATCATGACCACCATCAACAACAACAACTTAGTCGCCGTCTTCATGCTCAGCTTCATCTGCATCCTTTAATCACGTGCTTGTTTGTCTTCACCTTCCTCTTCTTCTGCAATCTGACCATTTGTCTGAATATTTTGCTTTGCCGCTTCTGTGGATTGATGAAATCTGGCAGCTCACAGGAAGTTTGTAGGGGTTGTTGGCATCGGGCATCTGGCACCATAGCAGGCTTAACGTAGGTCTTAATTTCCGAAGTACCTGAACAGTTCAATCTGTCTTACTTCCTGGCCTTAGTCCCCTATATGCCGAAACTCGAAGCTTCAGCCCTAGACAACGGCTACATTGCGAGACAGCCATGCGCAGCCGAGGACGTCTAGGCTGCCCGTGGGGAAGCCCTATTGCTTCTTGGCCCTGAGTACCCTTGGACCGTTGGTCGTTGCTTCAGGCCGCTGGCCGGAGTCTGGGGAGGCGAGCATCGACTCCGCTTTACGGAGACATGTTTGCCGTTTGCCCTCCATCATGCTTGCTTTGCACGGTTGTAGAACATACCACATACCCCTGTAGTTACACCTCTTTAATGGTTAAGGCCGCTGTAACCGTTGTCATTCGCAGGTTGCAGTGCCGAGATGTCGAGAGCCTAGGTAAGCTGCGAAAAGTCCACATCCTGCCATGGTCGAAGCCCCATGTCATCCGCGTCTCAACGCACCGAGCCGGTGCCGTGGTGGTGAGGCCAATGCCGGCAAACTCACGCATGGTCCACATGTAACCTGGCAGGCTTTGGGACCTTGTCGGATTTCTCGTTAGGAGTGCGGGTTCAGGCCACCACGATTGAATCCTGGCACTTACTGAAGCTGTATGGGGACAGTTTGGGAAGCAATACTCAAGTTGGGTGCATGAAGCTCTCCGACTCAGCTTGCTTTTATTTGTGTGTGTGTGGGATTGTAGGTCTAATGAGGAAGCTGGCCATGGTGATCCATCGGGACCCTAAGCTTGCGAGCACTCCGATGTTCCAAGCCCAGGTATCGTGATCCAGCGCGGTGGATCGCTAGCTACTACCGGTACCTGTCCGGCATCTCCTCTGTCCATTATTTTGCGGTTCGGGTGAAGCATCTGTTCCAGTTTTAGTGCCGCCCTCGGCGCTATACTATAGGTTGCCCTGTAACTTTTTTCTGACCTTGAGTCATAGGCTCTTGAGGAGCGAACCCCTTAAACCTTGGTTGTCGTTGGTTGTCATTCTGCAGGATGGGCTCCGCGAGCTCTGGACCCGCAAAAATACTTTACATAAGCCTGGATATGCCGTTTTTTTCTCTCCATAACCCCCAGCACGTCTTACTCAACCCGAAACTTGGCATGTCCACCCGAGGCCTTCAGAGCGTCTTTCATGAGAACCCTGCTTGGCACACCGTCCCGGGCCTGGCGCTTGGCCCAGAGACGCGGCACTTTCCTGGCGGCTCGGTGTGATGGCCGTTTTGCGGCTTGCGCCCCGACCTCCGCTCCCAGGGGGTTCTTAAGGCTCATCGTGACAAAGATGCGTCGTTCCCGGCTTTATCTAGGGCCTCTAGGCTTTCAGGTTTTATCAGGCATTTGCAATTGAGCATACTAGGCCCCACTAGTCCTGTCGCACCCCGATCCCTGGAACATGCGGGTTTAGGGTGCCCGACCATATATGGGGCAGTTCTCCGAAGTAGGGTTCCTGTTCAGGTCCCCAAATATACTGCGGCACCCTTACCAAAAGGGCCCTAGAAGGGGCCGGGCCCTCTTTTTAGAGAACTACCCTTATATCGAAGCCCAAGAAGAGCCCCCTGCAAGCCGAGGCTTTTTTGAGTCGACGAGGCTCCTGGCTCCCTGCAGGGGGCTTTGCTCGCTCTATGACCTGCGCCTCTCTGTCAATGGGTACTAAAAAAATCTATAGCTGTTGAATGTGTGGCCTTTAGTATATTTTCATTGAGTTGTACTACATTTCCTTTACATATTCTAGGGTCCTATCAAAGAGCGTTATTGACCCTAAACCCCAAAGCCAAAACGGAACTATAAGGCTAAGGCCACTGCGGGGTCACTAGCCTTGACTGAGAGGAGATCCTAGAGTTGCTTTAGGGTGTTTGATGGTGTTTGAGTATTGAGGGTCTGGAAGTTAGCGTTTAGGGTTGGGGTGTTGGGGTCCACGGCTTTGTAGGTAGGGTTTGGGATTTCTGTTTTACTGAAGGCCCATTGCCTTTCGGCTGTTTGGGCTTTGATTACGGTTTTCTCAAGCACCGGCAACTTGCCTGAAGATTCGCGGGTCTGGCCTCTGTCGGTACATGCAGTGCCCTATACAACGCCCCGGCACTCTCAGGCATGCTTCGAATGGCAGGAGCGAACATAGGAGGGGTCCTTCCTTGCATAATTGTAAGATAGTAACATGCCCCAACATGCTAGTCTGATTGCCCAGGCCCGACCCCTACCCGCACGCTTCCACCAGGCTGAATGCAGTGCCGCCAGACCAGGGCGTTTTGCTCCTCGACGGCACATTGGGCCTGGTGCTTGCGAGGTCTGGAGCTAAAAAGCGGGCATCGGGGGTGATGTCGCGGTGCAGGTCTAGGTCTTGAGCTGCAGACCTTACGGACAGTTTCTTATCAAGTGCTCTTCTGGCCATACTCTTACAGAGGTACTTGCGCATCTGTACCTCTGCCGATGCTCCTTGAGGTCGTAGTCGAGGAGTCTCGAAACCTAAACCCCAACGCAATGCGCTTGTCGAGGATAACGTCCCAGATCATTCGCGCTGAAGTGCAGCTGATGACGAAGGTGCCGGGGTTTCAGTCTGTGATGAAGGGTTTTAGGCTGGAGGATTTAGGATGTGCGCTTTGCGGCTACGTCTTTCCCGCTCACGTGGGTGCTGCCCAGAGCAACCCTGCCTTAGGACCGCCATCAATAGATGGGCTCGGGATTGGCTTTATCGTATATAGGGCTCTTCGTTCAAAAACTCATATCCATGCAGCAGGCCCTATATCATACCCTAAAAACCCCAAGCCCTCTCAGCAAGGTGTTTGTGAAGACGTACCATGATCCCCGGGTGCTGCATCTCTCGGTCGATCACTTGCACCTGTCCCTTGGACTCGAGGAGGCGTTCGTGTTATTAGTTGCCGGGTTTCTCGAGGATTGGGCATGGGAAACTTCTGAGTACCGCTAAACACATCTTCGAATATCCATGGTGGGTCCTTACCACACCGTGGAAACCCAAAGCCATGAAGCTCAACGCCCTAACAAAGCCCAGAATTCAGCGTAACTCCCTTGCACCCCCTGGGCAAACAGGACACTATGCCAATCTTGCATACTTGCAAGTTGCAAGCATTGAGCCTTGTGCCCCGAAGCACCTAAATCCTAAAGCCTCGCTTTGGAGCCCAAGAAGCCTCTGAGCAACGAGCACCTCTGGGAACGCCGAGGAATTATTACAAGACCATGCGCTGCATGCTCCGCTTCTTGCGCTGCACTGGGCACCCGGTGAGTGGCAGCTGCGATCAGACCCTGGCCTGGACAGTTCACACTTGGTGGTTTGGGTTTAGGGTTTAGAGTTTAGACTTGGTGGTTTGGACAATTATTCCTTCCCTTCCCTATGCATGGGATGATTCAATGAGGGATCCTACACCCGAAGCCCAATTTCCACGCCTGGGCCTAAACCCACAAGCATCCCACTAGACAGATTATGATAACCAAATTGAGAGGTTTTTCGAGTTCGGGGGCACTTGCACCAGGCGAAGTCACACTTTGTAGAACCCCTCATTCAACACCTATAAAACCCTCACACAAAAGCTTACAGGGCTATAGGACTCCAATAGTAATTCCTTGCAGGTAAAACCCTTATATTATAAGACCCTGCAAACCCTTTAAAACCCTATAGACCCTTGCAGCGAAAGCCCTTGCCAGAACCAAGGGGCCTGTTCGTATAGCCACCCTGATAGACATCCCTCTATAGAACCCCTTGTCACGCCTGATAGTAACCCCTGTAATAACCAGCCGTAACAGAACCCTTGACGCAACCCTTAAAGGAATATTTGGGAGAACCCTTATAGGAACCCTGAAAGGATCCCTTCAGGGAACCCTTGAAGGAACTCTGAAAGGAACCCCCCCCCCCCCTTGAAGGAACCCTTGAAGGATCCCTTTAAAGGAACCCTCATAGGAACCTTTTGAGGGAACCCCTCGTATAGAAAGGCACCCTTACAGGAACCCGCAGGGCCCGAAACCTAAACCCCTAAACCCCTAAACCCTAAACCCCTAAACCCTAAACCCCTGAACCCCTAAACCCTAAACCCCTAAACAGTGGGCCCAGGCTCGTCGGCACGCTGCGGAAGAGGGGCCTGGCACCCACGGACGACGGCTCGGACATCCGAGAGCACCTGCGCTACAGGCCCCCCTTTTTTATAACTAGGGTTTGGGGTTTAGGGTTTATGGGTTTCAAGTTTAGGGCTTTAGAGATTTGTGGTGATTCACAGGGGTTTTGTAGGGCTTACCGCAAGGGTTTGGGTTCATAGGTGATTTGTCAGGGGTTTATAGGGCTCGAAGGGTTTGTCGGGGTATGTGGTCGAGGGATGGGTTTGGGGTTAAGGGTGGGGGGATGGCTTAGGAAAGTTTAGGGTTTGGGGTTCAGGGTTGCAAGGTTTAGGACGTGGGTTTGGAGCCTCATAGCTGGACCAGGTGATAAAGCTGTTGGGCCTTGTGGCTTCGATACCTTCTTCCTCGATTTTGCGTGCGTTTTCGTGTTGGTCTTGGGGATGTCGGGCTGTGGGCTTGTAAGAGGATGGACCACCCCAGGAGCCAAGAAGGAACATGGGACAGGGCATAGTAAGTTCTCTAAGGAAGAGTCCTGAAAGCATAGCCTGGCCTTGGGATGTTCAAACGGGTTACCGTGAGCCAAAAAGGGCGGTGATGTGCTTTGAACCGGTGGCCCAAGCTGAAGCCAGAATTCAGAAACTGCAGCTGGAGACTTCCCTTGACAAACATCGGCTAAAAACCTGCGCGACTAGTTGCACTGAAAGCTCATCGGTTGTTGGTATGCCACCCATTGCTTGAAGTTCGGTGCTCAGTGCCCTATAAAGTCTGAGCCTGAAGTGGAAGGCGCCATGCCACCTTCAACAAGCACAACAACTCCCGGCTTCGGGATTCCCGGCATGGAAGTTTTAAACAGGGCCCTTGGGGAGGGTTTGCTGGGTTCTTTGGAGCTTAGACCAAGTCATCCAATCTGTTCGCAGATTTGAAGGGTCTCAGACTTGCCGGCAGGCAGGGTCAAGACTTTGAGGCCACGAGTCTTCGAGGCTCTCAGTCTGCCTCCTACACATTTACCCGCACAAACCTCAGGAACCTCATTCAGAGTGCATATGTAGAAATTTATCACAGATGTTTAAACTCAACTTGTAGGAACCCATTCGAACAGAAAGGCAACGGGGCAAATGGAGCCATCCTCTCCACAAGCCTCTATATGTCTTAAGCTACGCCCCGACAGTTCCAAAGCCCCCGAAGCACTCCCAAACCCAAGCCGGCAAAGCTGGACTCCAAACCCCTAAACCTTTACAGCCTTGCAAAAGCCGCCCTTCTAGGACCGCTCAAGTTGCACAAACCGCCATGCGCGTTTTGTAATGATACAAACCAAAAAAGCACTGTGAATCTTTCTTACCATGCAGCCCAGGCATTGGTGAGGTCTGTCCCTGCCTGGGCCCCAGGCCTTGCGAGCTTCCAAACCCTGGCGGCACAGGCCTCCAAGAGGCACCTGTTTCATGCCTTCGTTTAGGGTGTTTTCCAGTTGTACAGTGTTTTAAGTAGATTCTTTGTGACATGGTGTTTAAATAACTGCTTGTAAGTTTCAGGTGTTTATGGTGTGGGTTTGACAAGGTTTTGCGTGTAGTTTGAGGGTGTTGATGTTTCGATGTTTATTAAGGGTTTCCACCAGCGGTAGAACCCCAACTCCTGTAAAACCCTGAGGCCCTGCACCTCAAAATTGAGGAGTTTTGGTTTGCGCACTTAGCTAGTTCATGGTCGGATCGCAAAAAAGATTTAGATGTCTATTCCTCCTTGGGTTTAAGTACCCCTAAAACTGTAAACCGGGTTACCCAGCTATGACAGATTTAAAGCTAGAGCTCAGGGCTCATGAAGTTATCGGCAACCTTTTCTGGTTTAGGGGTATTTAGGGTTCATGGCTTTGGGTTTAGGGTTTTAGGGTTTTAGGGTTTCAGGGTTTGCGGTTTCAGGGTTTAGGGTTTAGGGTTTCAGGGTTTGGGGTTTAGGGTGAAGGGGCCAGGCCAAGGCTCCGGATGGGGTGTTCGGGTTTTGGGCCTCGCGGCTTGGGTTTTACGCCTTTAGGGTTTAGGGCCTTTAGGGTTTAGGGCTTAGGGCCTTTAGGGTTTAGGGTTTAGGGCTGAGGGTTTAGGGTTTAGGGTTTAGGGGCCAGGGCAGGGCTCCGGATTCCGACGCCTCTCGGCTTGGGTTTGGGGCTTTAGGGTTAAGGGTTTAGGGTTTGGGGTGCTTGATCCGGATCGAGTTCTGCAAGGTTGGTATGTATTCAGGTTGCCAGGGCCGGGTGTTTCCATTGGGTGTTCAGGGCTTTGGGACTTGCTGGTCGTTTTGTTTTGGCCTCGGTCAAGGACGAGTCATCTACAATTTTGCGGTTTATAGGGATGGACCATAGCTTTTTCAATGTCTTCCCTCAGCAATGACATTCTCTGGCCGGCCTTCCTGACTTTGAAGACACTTGTAGGGTTTTAGGGTTTAGGGTTTAGGGAAACTTTGTTTTAACTTGAAGCCCTCCGCAATTTCCGAGCCAGTTGGCCAGCGTTTCTGTAGATAGGTCCTTGGGTGTGAGCAGGAGCTGGCACATGACCCCTCAAACACTAACATAGGGTTTGGGGGGCCATTATACTATAATTTTTAATAAGGCTAAAAGACCTAACGCAACCCTTGAAATCGATCCCAGAGCTTCAGGGATCGCCGAGCTCTAATGCTCAGGTTCACTGGCTATAGAGCTTAGCAAGGATTCAGATACAGTTTATATACTATAGGGGCCTTGATCATTAGAATAGAGTTTTGGGGCCCATTATGATAGGAACCCCCAACATAGTATTGGTAATTATGTAGGCCCCTACATTGCTAAACTTCGCCCCCAAAACTAGAGGTATAGTATAGCATACCCCAAAACGCCATTCTAAGTATGAAGGCCCCTACATTACGCCCTTTACTAAACTTCGACCCCCCACGATTTCCTGAGGCGAGGGCCATAAATACCCTAAACCCCCAGGCCCCTAAACCCTAATCCCTAAACCCAAAACCGTAAACCCTAAACCCTATAAACCCTAAACCCTAAGCCCTAAACCCTAAACCCTAAAACCTTAACTTCGACCCCCTCCCCCCCGCGCGATTTCGTGAGGCAGGCCTCGCTCTTCGGCTGCCCCCTGCGGCTGCCTCCCTGAGATGAGAGGGATCCAAAGTTGGTCCCGGATCGTTTGAAAGGCTCTCCAAACATAGGGGGGTTGAGAGTGTAAGTATAGAGCTTTAGGGGTTAGGATTTAGGGCTTTATTTATAGGGTTTAGGGCTTATAGGGTTTAGGCCGAGCTTCCTTGTACAGCGCACCGGCGCCAAACCGAGAAAAACAGTGCCGTGCGTCTTCGAGCGCTTAGCGCAAGTTATCAGCACTTCTCCTTCTCCGTGTCTGCCCCTGTATGTGATTGCGGACGTGTGGCGAATACTCAGAAGAGGTCCTATATATGGTACGTTTGCCAGGAGATCTGAATCAAATGAGTCCATACCAGGTTCAGCACCGATTTGTATTCGGGCCCTAAACCTTCAGGTCCCAAAGCCCACAACACTCCCTGCAGCAGGTGCCGGTGGTGCTGCCGCAGCAGCCGTCGGGACAAGTCGGGAAACAGCGCATGTAGTTTTTGTGTCTAAGGTTCCGATGCGCTTGCAGGAGTTAGTCTCGGGGAGTTGCCTCAAGCACCCTTCGGCGAATTGGTTGACTTGTCGCAGCGAACATTGGCCGCGTCTTCCTGGAACTCTGGTGTTGGGGACTGAGCCTCGAAATATCAACTCTCTCCCTATCACAGCCATCGGCTTGAAAACAGGTTCTCAGAACTTTGGGCGGGGTTCTTTTAGTTCAGGCAGCTGTATGCCGTCCGGAAAGCTCCGTACCTGTAAACGTGTTCTTGAGGTCTCTCTTTTTGGGTTCGTGAGGCTCCGAGAGGCTTTGAACAGGTTTGGGCAGCAAGTCCGATTCCTGTGCGGAGCAGTGGGAAAGTTGCTGGAATGTACGGTAAGCAACGAGACTTCTGCACACCCTTGCCCGGAGACCGTTGCCGTACGTCGACCATCTTGGACAAGTATCTTCTCTACTGTTCATGGCGAAACCCAGTGCAGGAGGTGATTGGGTTTCAAGCTTGAGCTATTTGCTGTCTTGTGTGAGGAGCATTTTCCCGATGCCCCCTTGGAAGCGGCCCTGAAAAATAATGCGGCCGAGGGAGCATGTAGCACAGTCCGTTAGAGCCTGGCTCCCCTCTCTGAATTTGGGTTTTCTGATGCTATGGGTCCTGGCAACTGCGGCTTGTTCGCGTGGTCCTTGCGTCCCCACTCCTGGTCCAGTCGAATCGCCCGTCTGCGCGAGGAACTCGATGCAAAGTCTCCAGCAGGAGGAGGCATGCCGCATCTTGCCAGCCACTACTCTAAGCCCCACATGTCCTCCCGACAGTAAGTATTGCTTCAAATCTTTTGAGCTAGAATGCTGGAATGATAGTTTTGGATTCTCGTCCGAACTACCTGAAACTTGATCTCCCAGCAGGCGCCGGTGGCTTTGCGCCAACTTCACCCCGAAATCACAGCACCCCTGACAACCCTAAAGCTAAATCCTCCTGCGGATTAAACGCGAGCATTAACCCAGCAGGCGGCCATCTCCCGCGTGATGGCTGCCCTGTCTGAGGCCGTGTCTTCAGGGTCTCAGGGGTTTCTACAGGAGTCACGGCATGTACATATGTATGTATGTCTGTCTGTATGTCTGTATGTCTGTATGATTCTGTATGCATGCATGAATGAACGAACGAATGAATGTATGTATATGTCTATGTCTATGTATATGTATATGTATATGTATGTGCATTTATGTATGTGCATGTGTATATAACTACATACATGTAAAAAGCTTTATTTATTTCTGTCTAGTTATCTATTTACTTATTTGTGTATTTGTTTTATTTATATTTAGGTGCATTCAACTGACTGTGTTCATTACTTCATAATTCGTTTTTCATTATGATGATACATGATATACATATACACTCAATGGTAGATATGCGGGCGCACACACACACACACAGGTTTGTCTACATGATACCTGTCCCGCCCCCCGTAGTCAACAGAATTCGTCTTCAGGGCTGACAGGTTAGGATTCAGGATTCGAGCTTAGGTGCTCACCCTTTCTACCAAAAGTCACCGTTGCGTGTTCATTGTTTCGGGTCTTTTGCGGGAGCACCCCTCTGAGACGCACGAAGGGTCCCCGAGCCCGGAAAGTTCACAGGCCTACCGGCGGCTGGCACGTCCAGAGAAGGCGGGCTCTGTGCAGACAGCTGCTCAAGTTTCTTCGGATCCTGGAGCCCTGGCTTCTGTAGTTGAAGAGTAAGCTTGGGGCTCAGGGTTTGTATAAGTTGTAGTGTCAATCCGTACATGTTGGCATAGTTCCGTTCCTTGCAGCTGAACCGCTGAAGAGAAGTGGAGAGAACTGTTTAGACTCAAGCCCGATGCAGTTCTGCACATTTTCCGAGATCAGTGTTGAATAAGCCACAGCTCTCCGTACCAGCCTGAACCCGAAACTCTAGAATGTAAACAATGTAGACTCTAGAACGAAGCAACCCTTTTTGCACAATCTATGTAAGCTCTGCGTATCTCCCCCACACACCCTGCCCAATCTTAGCACATGAGCGCACAGAATAGTGCACAGAATCTCCACAAGCACCCCGCACAGTACATATGGACGCATACATACACGCATACATACATACATACATACATACATAAATACATACATACATACATACTATGAAGAGACATCACACTACACTACATTGCATTACATAGCATACTATGAAGAGGTGGGCGCGACCTGGTCCACCGAGCGCTGGGCTGCCTTGAGCCAGGCGAACATCTTGGAGCCGCGCCGCGCAGTTCTATGGGATTTCAGCTCGGGTTTAGGCCTTCGGTTTTAGGGGTTCAGGGAAAAATGATGCGAGGATTGCAGGGTGTGGAGTTTTTGGGATGCTGAGGGTTCAGTAGGTACTTTGCGAACAGACTTCGATGCCTCT